GAGTCTAGGACTGGGGCAGTAAATATACAAGATGAGCTTGGAGCATCTTGAGCCACAAAAAAAGGAAGTGCTCAAAGGGAAATCACAATGATTGGGAGTATGTCAAAGGGACAGAAGAACCCCCCAGAGAACCTCCCAGTGACCAAGGCTGGAACAATCTGAGCAACAAAATAAAGTAGTAGTGGATTATAACCCAAACTATAAAATAAATATTCATGAGTCCCTACATGAATGACTGAATAAATATATATATTGGAGGGAATAGTTAAGTCTCCCCCATGGGAAAATTTCAAATAATGTATGTAGATACTCCTAACTCCTTAACTATGGGTTTGCATGACTTCCTTCCAATGAGTAGAGTATGGGAAAGGGGAAAAGTAATTTTAACTTTTATTTCAATAAGAGATCTGACAGACACTAGCCTGGTGATCAAGATTAACATCTCTGATGATAAGCCATGTTGATAGCATTACCCTTGATATGTGATAAGAATGACATGTTACCTTTGGGGTCTTCCTCCCCAAAACCCAAAACTTTGGTCTAATAATGAGAAAAACTTCAGACAAATCCCAGTTGAGAGAGAAATCCCAACTGAGGAAAATACCTGGCCAGTACTCCTCAAAACTGTCAAGGTCATCAAAGAAAGGAAATCTGAGGAGCCCTCACAGCCAAAAAGAGCCTAAAGACACATGACTATTAAATGAAATCTGGTATCCTGAATGAGATCCTGCACCAGAAAAAGGACATTTGGTAAAACTAGGGAAATCTGAATAAAGTACAGACTTTAGTTAATAAAGTAGAATGGTTTCAGTTGCTCCAAAGAGATCTTACCTTGCATAGTTGAAAGAACACTGGCTTGGGTGCCATAAAACCTGGCATTTAGGCCTCTGCCATTTGGTAGCAGTATAACCATTAAGCAAAGCGTCATACTAGACTTTATTGTCCCCTTTCTATAGAATTGGTGTAGTATAAATTGATATTATACTTCCTTCATGGTATTGTTAGAAGATCGAAAAATCATGTAAATGTAAAATGCTTTGGAAGGCATATAAAATACTAGATAGGATAAGATTGTTTTAGTTAGTTCTCATTCTGAAATCAAAACTTAAGGGTCAGGCATTAAAGCAGAATTGTTTCTTGTTCATATCTCAGACCCTCTGAACAGAGTGAGCCAAGTTGTTGATATCAGGGAAAAGCTTTGTTATGTAACAGGAATAATAAAAATAGCCAAGGTTTACTGACTACTTACTATGTGCCAAGGCCATTTTAAGCACTTGTTTCATCCTCATTAACCATTCCATGAGGGTAGGTACTATTGTTACCCCAGTTTTAGAGCCAGATAAGCTAAGGCAGAAAGAAGTTAAGCAGCTGAGTCCAGGGCACGTAGTACAGTGATGCTCTTGCAGTCCTAGTGTTCAGTACACGTGAAGTGTGAGAGTCTGGCAAGGTTAGGAAGAGGTCGAGAATATCAGTGACAGCACTCTGAGGAATCTAGGCATGTCAGACTAAGATATATTATTCAGAAAAGTTAGCGCAGCTGTTCCTTAGGGATCAGTTGTTTTATTCCTGGAAAATGTTTTCCACTTTCTGCAAATCTATATCTGACCTGCTGAGGAAATCATTTGGTGAATTGAATCCAGAAAGCAGAGAAAATGTTTCATTACTTTAAATAGCAGCACTAAGCCCATTACAGTTTCTGAATTGTCCCTTCTTGGAGTTTGCTGTTACTTCCAACTTAAGTCTTTTGGAGTTCAAGAGTATGAATTTATATGCCCTTCCTGATATCCTCATCTCTATAATTATCTGGTTTTGGACAATATATTACAAAAAATTTAAATATAAGATCCTACCTATATATTTCATTATTATTAAACCAGCATTATACTGTGTTTGGTGATCTTCCTTATATATCTTCTAGCATTTTTTTGTGGACCTAATAGAATAAAGACCTCTTAAATGCAGTTCTACTTTTTCTGTATTTCTCTGTTTAAGTAGAGGGGAACCAGGTAAAAGCATTTGTCTTCTTTATTTCCTTCTCTGAGATGTAAGAAGGAGAAGAAAGGACCTTAGTGGGAGTGTAGTGGGAAACATGAACTTGTGCTGGCAGCTCATTCTTTCTCTCCCTGCTTCATGATGTGCAGGTTGGGGTCAACCTAGTGAGGCTCTTGAAACCCAAAGCTCAGCATGTTTGCTATAGCTTTAATTTGCTGTGTCTTACTCAAATGGTCTTGAGTTCTCCAAATACTAATTAATTGACGTGATATAGTCTAGACAGAGCCAGATATGGTTTGTTAGCTTGTAAGTCATCACTAAGAAGTATACATTCACTGTTCTTTATTTCAATGTAACAAGAATCCTTTTCAGTTTCATTCTTCTGTTTCGCAAGCAGAGCTAAGTTAAACTTGACTGAATCTGAGGCTCTCAGTTTTAAAATGTATGTTCTTGACTATAGTACAAGTCTCTATTGTGAGATATGCTGTGGTTGGGTAGAAGGGAAATCAAGAGACCTGGGTTTGAAATTTGTTCCGCCACCTGCTTATTGTGGGACATTGGGCAAGTCATTCTCTCTGTACCTTGATTTTTTCAGTAGAAAAGTAGACACAGTCTACTGTGTCTGTGAAGGAGGCATCTCCTTCACAGAGTTTTAAAATCATGATATAATGTTAAGGGAAAGCATCATTAGGTCATAGAGTGCTGTGTACAGGCAGCTATCAGGGGTCTTAATGCAGGAACTCTGAGACAGAAGAAAGCACTGTTGTGTCATGGTTAATTGTAGAAGCTTTGGAGTCAGATTGACCTGGGTTTAACTTTCAACCCTGCCCCTCACTAGACCTTTGTCCTTGAAAAGTTTCTTTCTCAATTACCTACTCTTTAAATAGAGATAAATATTCCTCAGGATCAGTATGAGGATTAAATAACCTAGGGTATAGAAAGTACTTAGCACAGTGTGGGGGTATGGTATATGGTAATTTGGATGACGGTTGTGATGGTGATTATAAGAAATCACTAGATTTGAAATCATCTGTAAACATTTGGCTTGGACTTTCTTAAACTGAGGAGATTTAGTTACAGGAACATAGTCATGGAAATAACCATCAATTTCAGTCTATGTGTCTGGACCCCAAAAATCTCTTATTCTAAACTGTATTTTTTGTAAGAGCCCTAGAGGAATGATTCTCTTTGTCCCTCCTCTGAAGTAGCATTATCTCAGCACTTCTGGGAAAGCCTGTTTATAGGACTTCTTGCTTCCTGAGTGCCCCTGGGGAAATTTGATTAAAACATCATGTTGATCTAGGGAAGTGGGTGATTATATTAAGATTTGCCATGGCTGTTTATGACCATAAACTGATACTTCTGAGGATGTAAAGGGGACAAACAAGATGAGGAATAAAGGAAAGGAAATAATTCCTCATTTCTGAAGCAAACAACATTTCCCTGTCCAAGTGAGGAGCCCTCTTCTAGCATTATGGTCCATTCTGACTCTCTCTGCAAAATCACTTATAGTGTAATTCACATTCCTTTGGGACTCTCTAAATAATTCTCTCAGCTTGAGCCTCCTGGGGAAGACCCAAGACATTTTTCTGGCATATGAGGTCCCCAGTTGCCTATGGCATAGTGTCCGCACCCAGGAAAGCAGGCTCTGCTGTTGAACATCACAGCAGGCAATGGCCCTGTGAAGATGATGAACATATCATGCCTGCATCCCACAGGAAGTCCCATTTCTTCAGGGAAGCAGTTTTTACTCTAAAATCAGTGCTTAATCTTGCCCCTTACAAAAAAAATAGAACTCATACCCTAGCTGTTGGCTCTGACAGTGGAAATCTTAAAAGGCTTGAATTCTCAAGAGTCAAGTTAAGGGTGACCTTAATTTAGCAGGAGACCTTCAGAAACATGCCAGGGGATTCCCACTGTACCACTCAAGTTACCGTTTTGAAATAAAGCACCATCGATGACATAGCTTTAGTAGAAGGTCAGACAGTGGGGATCCTTAACCTCTATTCCACATTTACTTTTCAGATGATGCGAGTGCTTGGAAAAGTTATGCGGAACATCCTAGAAAAAGCATTTTCCCCTCTGCGTGGGGTTCTCAAACTGATGTGTCCAGCTGGGAGAACTGTCCCTGAGAAGTAAAATATTCCATATAGTGATTGAAGAAGGAGAGGCAAAATGAAGTTTCCAGGAAGAGGTTTGTGGGACAAAGTGGGGGGCAGTGACTCGTCTTTTCCAGGGTATGACAAAGCCCAGCCTCGGTGGTACTTTTGAGAACGCCTGCACTAGGTCAGGGATCTGGGGCACCATCCCTCCAAGCCATTCGGCAGAACTCTGTTCTCACAGAGAACAGCTATCATGTCAGCGGGTTATAAACTGACTGTGAAGGGAGGCTCTCTCCCATCCCTACCCTCAGAGGAAAGGAAGTGAAACCAACCATTCACGCCTAAACTTGTCCCTTTTGTGAGCATGGGAGTGTGAGAACGACAAGGGTGGAACGTGAACTTTAAAAAGGAGGGAGAGTCCATATGACAGTGGATCCAAAACATACGTTACTCCAGAAGGCGGTCAGGAGACGGGCAGAGTGCTCTTTGTGTTCCCCGTAACTGTGCCCTCCACACCCTTGCTGTCAGTTACATGGACCAAATTCATCTCAAGATGCAGACAATGTTTAGTCAGCCCAGTACCCACAGAGAAACTGACGTCTTCCTAACTGGAATCCTCTGACCAACTTCCCAGTGCTTCTGCCACTTCTTCCCCTTTCTTCTCATTATCACCTTCTTTCCCCAGTCCTGGAGAAGAGCTGTAAAGGAACAAGATAATTCACATTTCCCAAAACTCCGCCTGCCACTGTAGACCTTGACCAGAGCTTACTTTCCGGACAGGAATTGGGATGTCCCCTTGATCAGAGGCTCCCTCTCCTCAGCTTTCGTGTGCTGCCCACCCTCAGTTCTACCTGCATTCCCAGCACCCCTCCCCACTTGGCCAAGGAAGAAGACACACAGAGCCTGGATGTTTCCACACCCACCCTTTATTGGACTCAGCCCACAGGCTGGCTCCAGGCCTCCACTCTTCTCAGACACCGCCCATACAGATTTAGGAAGGTGCCATCATTTTGTGAAGACTCAGAGCCCACCCACGTCCTGGAGCCCCAGGTTGAGTCACCAACCAGAAGGTTGCGGGAGGGGAAGGAAAAAGACCAGAAAGGCAAGGCTCTTCAGTGAAGGGTGCTGATCTGAAGGGAAAGCTTGGGCCCAGCAGTCTTATGAGGGCACAGTGCATGCTCAGGAGAGACACTCAGGGTGGGAGGAGATAGACCTGCTAGTGTCTATATGGCAACTTTGAGGAGGCGCTTGATGTCAGGTTCGATGTTGATGGTTTGGAAGGTGCGGCTGTAGCGGCGGAAGGGCTCCCCTTCCGGCCCAATGAGGAACTTCTCAAAGTTCCAGGACACATCTGAGCGGCGCACGGGGCTCCAGATGATGAACTTGGGATCAGTCATGAGGGAAAACGGGTCGTCATAAGGGTAGGGGAGCTTGTCCTTCAGGTAGGCGAAGACTGGATGCTCGTTCTGACCATTCACATCACACTTCTGGACAAGGGTGAAGGTGGGCTGGAATCCACCCCCAGGGCGGACATACTTGAGGCTGTTCAAGATCTCTTCATTCTGACAGTTCTCCTGGGGGAGGAAAGAGACAGAGCTTGGAAAAGGCAAGGGGAAGATGGAGGATCTACAAAGCCTTTCACTCTTCCGTACTCCCCAGGGTCATTCTTTCTAGCTGTCTTCCCACTTCCTATTCCGTCTCTTTATTCATTTTGCCCTACTCTTGACTCAGAGTTTCCCCTCTCAGAGCTATCATCCTGATGGTTTGTTGGGTCGTTTCTGAAAATTCTCAAAGATCCTAGTTTGGCTGTTCTTGTTCTGAAGATTTAGCGCTTTTGAGCTGTTACTTCTCCCTCCGATCTACCCTGAGCAGTTCTTAGGCTATGTCTGAATCTTCAAGGAACCTTCAGCTCAGGGCAGTAGAAAGAAAGGGAAAGGAGGCTCAGGTCACACTGCCTAGAACCCTTCTTCCCCTTATGTAGCTGCATGCACACACATACACATAGCCTGCACACACACATACATACAGCCTGCACACACACACACACACACACACACACACACAGCCTGCATACACACACACAGAGCCTGCAGACACACATCTGCATGCACACACACACATGCCTGCCACCACCTTCCCTTTCCTTGTGCCCTGATTTTGCCTCTCTTCTAATTACCTGTGAGTGTTGAATATAGCCTTGGCTTCTGCCCTACTCAGCTCCTGAAACTAAAGGTGAAATTGAGGTCTGGAAGAATGGGATTTATAGCTTCTTCCTTTCATCTTGCCTCGTCCTAGATCTGAAGTACAAGCAGGAGAAAACTTTGATGAAGGAAAACCCCATCCAAGGAAGACTAGCTTTCAGGTGCCATATAAAGACAAAATAGGTTAGCACCAACAATGAATGTACTGTATGTGAAATTACTTCATGGCCACCAGGCATGAATTAAATAGGATAAAGGGTTTAGGCTTCTGGAATAGGCCAGGGGAAGGGGAAATTAAGGAAATAAGTGCGAGAGAGCCAAAAGTTGTGCCTGTGTAATTATGGTTCCTTCCACTTAGACCTCACCCTCAGCTAGAATGCTTTAGCTCTCAACCTATTACCTGTCTTCCCTCCCTGCTGCCAGCCCTGTCTTATCCCTGCTTAGGATTCTCCACCCCTGACAACCCTCAAAGGCCCATGGAAACCCTTATTTTCCACCCCCACCCCCAAGCCTAAGAGTCAGGTATCTCCCTCTGGGAGAAAGTTCCTGCCTCTGACCTACTAGAACCAATTAGTACAGTCAATTCCAGGCCATCATGACATCTTGAGCCCAGAGTTGATGGCTATTAAAGTCTTATCTCCTAATGCACATGGCTGGCTGGCTACTGGTACATTATGAATTCCCTCCAGCAACTGGCTGGCCTGAAGTGATGGCTGGAGGCACCTCTGAAGAGGTTTTGCCTTTTCTGTCTCTCTTGTCCTGGCCAAGCCTGGAAATGGAATGGAGACAGGGAAGGAACAGTGAGCGCACTCATGGTTTGGGCTCAGGTTTGTCACAACCAATGACATTTCAGCCTTCCTGCCTGTATGTCTGCCAGTCTCTTCCTTGCCTTCAGGCCTCTGTGAATTGAACCAAAGGGATTATAATTGGAGGGTTCACTTAGGGACATCCTGCCTGCTTGTGCTATTAAAATCCTAAGTGAAAATAGAAGAATCCCTAAAAGATAACTTGAGGTGTGTGGGCTAAAGATGTGTAACAACTTGATGCATTAATCAGGGACATTGAGGAGCATATGATACCCAGAGGAGACACATGCACTTTACAGACCCTTTGCCTTCCCCCAGATTCACTGTCCACTTGGCTGGTTTCAAACAAACAAACAAAACCTTTCAATCTAAATAATAAAGTTGCTTGCTTTTTCATATTACTTTATATTTTCCAAGTTAATTTTGTAGCTCTTACACTATCAACCTCACAATAATCCTTAGTGCCCGGCTCTTCTGACCCCATGGAATGTAGCCCACCAGGCTCCTCTGTCCATGGGATTTCCCAGGCAAGAATACTGGAATGAGTTGCCATTTCCTTTTCCAGGGGATCGAATTCGACCCAGGGATCAAATCCTTGTCTCCTACACTGCAGGCAGATTCTTTACTGCTGAGCCACCAGGGGATCCCTCCTATATGAGACAAGTGGTATTATCCCTAGTTTATGGATGAGGAAACCAAAACAGAAAAATTGAGTGGGCACTGACCCATTAAATAGCAGAACCGAGTCTAGTGAGAACAACGGTCTCCTGAGTCAGTTCAATCCTAATTTGATTCTTGATCTTCTGTTTCCTCCTGTCATTCATTCAGCAGATAAGTGATGAGTGTCTTCTATACCCTAGGCACCAAGGACACAGTGGAGAGAGAACCAGACCAGTAGTGGGAAGACCGGAAACAGTGAAAATGCACATCTTTGGTGTGCTGTCAGAGACAGGATCATACTGACACCCCCCCCCCCCGTAGTCACCTCTACCTATAGACCTAGCTTAACAAAACATACCCCATAATTCCAGACAGTCCAGCACACAGTCGTTCTCCCCCTCTCCTTAGTCCTCTAGAGCTACAGCAGTCCAACTCCAGGGACCTCTCACCTGATGTCCAAATTGGTTGCAAGGGAAGCCAAGAACGACCAGGCGCCTGGGGAAGCGGCACTGCAGCTCGTTGAGTTGGGTGAAGTCCCGGGTGGTTGTGCCTCAAAGCGAGGCCACATTCTCAATCAGCACTGCCCTGCCTCGGAACGTGTTGAAATCTACCTTCTCCCCGTCCAGGCTGATAGCACTGAGGTCGTAGAAGGACTTGGCAATGTAAGCCATGGTGGACGTGCAGAGTGAGTGGCAGAGCCCTGTGAGGCCACTCAAGGGTCGATTAAAAGGGTGGGGAGGAAGGAGGAGCCAGGAGGGGCCTCACAATGGGGCTCTGAGCATCCCCAGGATGACTTAGCAAAAACAGTCGCCTACCTGTAAGTGCTGTTTGAACAAGAAACTTGCTCCTCCTATTTACAGACTCTGAACAAAGCCACCTCCCTGCCCCACCCTGTTGGCAACCTGGGAAGGGCCAACGTGGTATCTCTGAGTAGACATCAATAATTCACTGCTTGCAGGAAACCAGAGCCCCAAAGGTCGGAGAGGAGGAAAAAAGGGAGGGAGGGATGCAAGACTGACTCCTGTCTGCCCCAGCAAGTGGTTTTCACTTGGCACAGACATTTATTGCGTGCCTGCTGAGTGCCAAGCTGTGAACTGTGCAATTGAGAGGCCAGGGTCTGCCGAGGGCTGAACGATAAGGAAGGGAATTGGGTGCATGTCCCCTTGACTCAGACTACCATCGAAATACACATGTTACTATTCACATTTCTCTCTTTGGCCATTACCTTCCACAAGCATAAAATCAAAGGGACCCTTGGGAGGATGGTGTGGGATTTTCTAAAATAATGGCTTTTGGTGCTTCAGCTTGCACCCAGTCTGAAGAGGTGAGGCTATGTTTGTCTTGAAAAGTCTTTCAGTGAATGATGGTACCTGCCCCAGAGGGTACATCTGCCTTTGCCCCTGCTCTGGGCCATCTCCTCTAATACCCCTCGCCCCGCCCCCACAGGGTCAGGAGGATGCAGTCGGTTGTGGCTTGGGATAACAGAGAGGAGTCATAAAGCAGGTGGGTAAACTTGGGGCAGGGTTTACCTTTTTTCAGACAAAGGCTCCGGCCCTGAAGACTTTCCAGAGGCAGTTGTGCTGGTCATTCTCCACAGAAGAAAGTGTACAAGGAGTCGAAGCTGCTATGGTTCTAGACCCAGCTAAGCCACTCAGTTTTCAGCACATCTGGGGACCTCCTAAGGCTCTCAGGGGAGCAGAGCCCCGGAAGCCCACAGAAACTAAAAAGGCCTAATACTTCACTTTATTCTTCCAAACGCCCATGGATACAACAAATCAGGGGTTTGTTTTGTTTCTTATTTATTTTTTAATGACTGGATTTTTCCATCAGTAAAGTTGGCAATTAGGCTTTACCTGGTTTGGGGATTTTAGAGTGAAATTTCAATAACAGTGAAGTTGTTTACGAGGGAGTGTGTTCACAGGTATGTGTCCCTTGGGAACCGTCTCTGAGAACAAGAAGAAACCAGGCTGGGGAGCAGCTGGTCTTGAGAATCTGATTTGCTTGGAGGATGGAGCAACCTTCCAGGCAGTGCCCGGCTTTTCTGTGTTTTGTAGCCTGTTCGTGGCTGTTCTTGGCAACAGGGAAGCCCATTTTCTCCACCAGCTGCTCCCCACAAACAAACCTCCATTACCTAAGTGGGGAGGGAATCTTTTGCCACTAGAAGAGGTGGCAGGAAACACAGAAGTATGTTCCCTGCTGAGGCTGGGTGGAACTCCTGGGAAAAAGCAATAAACGTCCCCCCGAAGCCACTGAGTCAGAACTTGGCCCTGACAGTGGGCTAAACTTTAACATGAACTTGCCAGATTCACCTGCATGCCTGGCACTCCCCGAGAACTCTCAGGCCTCTTACTGACTGCCCTTCTGGGACCCTCTCTAGGAAGACCATGCAGATCCTGAGATGAGAGGTAGCGGCGCTCTCTTCCTTAGGTACACGCCATCCCTTTTCTCTAGGACACTGCGTCACCCGGGCTCTCACCTTACATGACTGAGTAAAATTGATGAAGCTCTGCTAAGGTAGCTCTTTGTTCCCAACTTTCCCTCAAACTGGCCCACTTTTCGGAAGCTTGTAATTTTGGACATGCACTAACACAGCTTTCCACAAGGGCAGTTGTTGTTCTGAAAACTGCACTGGCTTAGTAGGCAGAAAGCCTCGGTCAGCGGCTCCCAACTCTGGCTGCAAATGAGAATTGCAAGTAGAGATTTTTCTAAACAGAAATGCCAAGCTTTCCCCTCCAGAGATTTCAGTTCCAGTTGGTCCTTTTCAGCTTGACTCTGCCACTGTTCCTTGGGGCCCCTAGGCACCCGTTCCCTTATCCGTTGAACCTGGATAATCACCTTCCTTATCTCACAGAGAAGTGATTGTTCAGGTGGAGGAGATAAAGGTTTATGAGTTCTCTGTAAACTGGAATATACAGATTTAAGATTTTAGGCTACCATTGCCCTGCCTTGCTTTACTCCTTCCTTCTTGTTTTAGCTTTACCTCCAAACATTCTCTACCTCTTCCATCAACTCCAGACCCCGGAGTATAGTATGCAACAGACCCCTAGACTCCAGACTGTCTTACTCTCTAGGGGTATCCAAGCATAGTGAAGAAGGGAAGTGAAAGTCACTCAGTTGTGTCTGACTCTTTGAGACCCCATGGACTATACAGTCCAAGGAATTCTCTAGGCCAGAATACTGGAGTGGGTAGCCTTTCCCTTCTCCAGGGGATTTTCCCAACCCAGGGATTGAACCCAGGTCTCCTGCATTGCAGGCAGATTCTTTACCAGTTGAGCCACAAAGTAAGCCCAAGAATACTGGAGTGGGTTGCCTATTGCTTCTCCCAGGGGATCTTCCCAACCAAGGAATTGAACCAGGGTCTCCTGCATTGCAGGCGGATTCTTTACCAACTGAGCTATCAGAGAAGCCCATCCAAGCATAGGGTTAAGATGAACTTCTGAAAGATTACTCAATTCTGCCTCATGCCTTTAGGAAGACCCTATTCCATTCCAAGAGATGCGACCCTTCTTGGCTGTTAGACATTCAGCATTTCCCCCACTCCCCACCCCACCTATGACAACTCAGTCTTATTTCTGTAGTGTGTGTCCACAGCAGAGCAGTGCGTGCTCTGCTTGGGCTCCCCTGCAGGTGGCATTAGGAGAGGCGCCAAATGGAAGACGTTTGCTGCCAGCAATGTCCTTCTACTGCTGTTGCTTTAGGGTTCTGGAGCCTCTTCTACTGGCACTGCCCCTTCCCCTGAACCACCAGGGTCCCATGGAGACCCACTCCTGGGGATTCACACAGGCAGCTGTGATTGGAAATATTCTTTATTTTGTAAACATCTGTGTTTAAAATAGATGAACCCTGCTCACAATTCCTCTACTGGACCCGAGACACAGCACACGAGAGTTCACCCATCACAGGGAGAAGGTGGGGCTCAGGAATGGGTGCCAGGGCGGCGCTGAGTCTCAAGACGGCAGGTGAAGACGTGGTCAGGAGTCCACAGGCAAGCGCGCCTGCTCAACAGTCTAAGGCCAGGGCCCAGGCCGCCTCTGGTACCTGGTGAGCCTAGCTGCACCCTAAAACCCCAGCGCCCCTCCTGCCCCATGCCTCTCCCCAGCAGTGGCCCCGTGGATGCGGCTTCTCAGGCTGTAGAGTCTCAACCCCAAGGTTTCCCTTCCAGAACCCCTAGGGCACAGTAAAAATACAGTCCCTTTCCTGAGGGGGTTAGGAGAGGAAGGCAATGGTGCTCGGCCAGATCTTCAGGGAAGTGTCAACACTGACCCACAGGCTGGAGCCAACGGCCAGCATAAACGCCCCTCCCTCAGGTCCCTGGTGGAGGGCACACCGAGGGCTGGCACTGCTGACCCCCCACCCCAGAGCTGATGCTGCCCATGTCTAGATGTTTGAGGAGTCAAGTCCTCAAGGAAGCATTCTCAGCTGTGGTCGTGACTTCATCCTAGAGTCAGCTCTTCACATTTCTCATCAGCCGACAATTATAATTACTCTGGCTTTCTTTTTCCTCCCAATGTAGGGACCTGTCCCACGTCCCTACATCCTGAGCTGCCCTCTCCTGGTGTGGTATTAAGAATCAGGAGGGAAGGTTTGGCGATTTCATCCCTCACCTTTTTTTCCAGAGGAGTCGGTGGGGCTCTTAATCCTTCACACATGTGTGTCCTGGACTTGAGTTCTTATTAACGACTGGTGAATGTGCGATGCCTAGTTCTTTGTTTTTGCTCCAGCACCAGCCATGCCTCACAGCTTATGACTGATCCTCCTCCCATCTTGGGAAGGTGGAAGCCCTCCTGGGGCTGCTAACTGACATATTTCCCCCCTCAAAGGGCCTCCTACAAACTACTCTGGACTGTATGGAGTTAAAAAAACTTCTTCCTGAAGCAAAGGGCCCTGGAGGAGGGAATCCGCTTCCCCCCCACCTGTCGCCACAGAGCAGTTGGCAAACCCAAGAGCCTCTGACTGAGGAGCTCAAGGAACAAGATGAGCACTTGGTCCTGAAGGCTGAAGGGAGAGCACCACACATTCCTACCCAGGGCTTGCCTGCCTCCTGCCCACGCGCTCCCACCCTTCTCCCACAGACTCTGGGTCACAGGAGAACCTAAAGAGCCAAAGGCTGGGCTCAATGAAAGACCACCAGCCTGGTTTTGTTCCGTCACCTGCCAGGGGATGGTGGGGAAATGCCCTTCTTACATAAGAAATGGAAGATGGGGCCCAGGAATCCCTGCTGCTGCCCAATTCCCCTCTGGTTTGCAAACTGCTATCCCAGCTCTTAACTTATAGGAGCTGGCCCTTCTCTTCCAAACACTCCCCTTCCTGCAGTGTGTGGTAGGCCCCAGGGTGGGGAGGCTCTCCTCACCCCTGCAGTGCTCACAGGTCTTGATCCACATCTTTAAATTCAGGAGCCCAGCGGGTACGGGAGGTAGAGAATGGAGGTGACTTTTTAATCCCTGCCACCCCTCATCATTTTTTTTTCTTCTCTGAAGCACCTGTCTCCGAGCTCAGGTCCCCCAAGAGGCAGGTGGGCGGGCAGCCAAGCACGGGGTAAACTGGGGTGGGAGGGAGGAGAGCCCCAGATGTGGGGACCACCACTTAGGGCTTTCCTTCCTCCCTCGCTTTCCTCTCTGCCTGGTCACCAGGAGGCAGGCCCGTGGCACAAGAAGGGGCAGGTGGTGGCCGGGGGAGATGGAAACAGCTCTGGGGGCTGCAGGTGGGGCTTCTCCCAGGAGCAGAGCAGGGGGAGTGTGGCCCTGGGCCTGAGTGAGGAGGAAGGGGAAGGTGCTGCCCCAGCAGGGACCTGGACACACAGGCGCGGGGAGGTGAAGGCTTCCATACGAATACAGCCGAGCAGAAGAGACAGACAGAGAAGTGGGAAGAAGCTAGAAACAGCGGAGAGGAGACCAGATGCACCGAGAGACAAGGAACCTACAGTGGCCTTGACTCCAGACTCGGGCATCGCCTGGGAGCTCCGGGCAGTGAAGACGTGCTCGTCACACATCGGGGGGGCTCGCAGCAGGCCTGTGGCTGGGGACACAGGCTGGCAGGGCCCCCCCAGGTGGAGGGCTGGGGGCGAGGCTGCTCCCCGGGGCCAGGCAGGGGGAGGAGGAGCAGCGGCCAACATGCCGCAGGGTCACCCAAAGGAGAGGGGCAGCGGGGTGAGGCCCAGGCTCCCTTGTGCCCGCAGGCCTCCTGCGGGGAGAGGGGGGTTGTGCGGGGGTGCTCCACGCAGGATGCTCAGCACCAGCAGGTTTTGGAAGAGTTTGCTGGGCCCTCGGGTTTGCCTTCCTCCTCCTCCAGCTCTGCCAAGGCCACCTCGTGGTCAGCACGTGTCCGCAGGCCTTCCAGCTCCTTCCTGTGCGCCTGCAGCACCAGCTCCGTCAGGCGCGTGAAGGACTAGGGAAGCAAGCGGCGTCGTTAGCCGGGCGTCTCCCCCTCTTCCCCGGCGCCCCTGTGGCTGCCCCCCGCCCCGCCCCCTGCCCAGCACGGCTCATCTGCTCTTGGCCCCTCAGCTGCCTCGCCACTCCCCTGGACTAAGCCCAGGAGTGCTCACCTCTTTAATGTTGAGGTTGGTGCAGGCACTTGTTTCGTAGAAGTCCATGCCATACTCTCTAGCCAGCTGCAAGAGAAGAACATTCCTGAAAGGGAGTCAGCAAGGGAAGGGAGGTGCCCCGCAGCCCCTGGCACATCCTTCTGCCACCACGCTCGGGGCCCTGCTGTGTCGTGACCATTTCTCACGAGATAAGTAGATCACTTATGAGATCACATAAGTAGAACACTTATGAGACTGGGAGCTCTGAAGACCAGGCTAGCAGAGATTGGGAGAAGGTACTCCACCCATACACCCCACCCCCACCCAGCTACACACAGGCACACGTACACACCCCACATACATACATCATGTATCAGAAGACAGGCCCAAAATGTTGTGGCAAACTAATGAAANGGGATGAGATGACTGTGGGACAAAGCTGCTCCTGGAGCTGCTATAGAGGCAGCAACCTGAAGTCCTTCCTCCTCGTTAACCAGGATGGGCTCTCAGGCAGAGGTAATCCTGCTCTGGGGGCCTTGGAGCTGAGATAGGCCTTTGTTTCAGGATAGACCCAAGTCACTGTCCTCAAAGATGGCAACTCACCAAATGCCTTAGGCTGCTACTGGAGGTGGGAGGGAGGGGTCCCCAACAGTGATAGAACCCTGGGCCCTACTTCTAAGGACTGGCCCTGGAAGCCCATGGAAAACCCAGGGGTGGATTCAGCCAGCTCACTCCCACTTACCTGCTGCCCTTGTTCTCTTCCCACCTGCCGTTTCTGCTCTTCATCAGCCTTGTTCCCTATAAGTATCTTCTGGACACCTTCTGGTGCGTACTAGGGCCAGAAGAAGGCAGAACCACCAGTGAGTGCGGCCTTCCTCATCCCACCCCATCTCCCCACCATACAGCCTCCACGGGCGTGCACGCCAGCACCGAAGTTCAGAGCCCCAGGAACAGAGTGGGCCAATGGAGTGCAGGCACCAGGCTCCCCCAAGTACCACGGCTGACCCCAGGGGTCCCTGAGAGATGTCATGGGGACTGTCGAGGATAGAAGATACTGGTGCTCCCTTGGGTTGGACAGCTGGAAAGGATGCTGGACTTAAGTCCAACCTCTCACTCTACAGATGAGGAACCGGGGACTCAGAGTTCCAGGGGCGTGCCCAAGGCTCCACAGCTGTGGTGGCAGAGCCAGGACTGGAACCCCAATCTCCCAATTCCACCTGGTCCTGAGATTCGGGTAGGAAGCTGTGCACAGGGGAGGCTCTGTCCTAACTCGTTTCTGGGGAAGACACAGCCATGGAGGCCTGGCAGGGTGCAGAGCATGAGGGCATGGCTGCTGGGGACTCACCCCCGTGTCTTACCCGCGGGGGCTGCAGCCAGGGCTGCAGAGGAAGCGGCGAGTTGCTGGGAGTGTCTGCTCGCCAACTCTGACCACCTTAGCCCTTCCCGTGTGGGCGTCGCCGTGCCCTCCCTGCCCCGCCGCCCCCCCACAGTGAGGCTGCGTGTCCTACCTCGTCCACATCACTGACCCACTTCATGATGTGCTGGTAAGAGCGCTCGCTGCTAATGTCGTAGACTAAAAATATTCCCTGAGAGAGAGGAGGGTGAGATGGGGGAGGCAGACGCACATGGAAACTGCACAGTCAAGGGGCCAGAAGCGGGGGGTGGGGCACCTTACATGCTGGGTTGCCGTCTCCCTCTTCCCTGCTTAGCATAATGAAGATCCATAAGCACCCAGAAAAATCTCCTCTCAGCCCCCCAAAGCCACTGCTTCCTAGATCACAGAGCTCCCTCAGGCAGGAAGGCATATGGGTCTTTGGCCGGGGGAGGGGGGTGGAAGTTGAGGGTGAGGACCTGCCTGTAGTTGACTGCCCACAGAGGAACTGATGAATGAATAAATGATCAATAAGTGACTGAAAGACTGCCCTGAGCACCCCCTGCCTCACTCCCCAGGAGGCAATTCAAGGACCCACTTGGGGATCAGTGGCACAAACATCTCAAACGCCCAGAGCCAGGTGTGTGGGTGGCAGCATTCCACTCTAAACCCTAAGGACAGTGTCTCACCTGGGCCCGTCGATAGTACTGCTTTGTGATGGTCTGATATCTCTCCTGCCCCGCCGTGTCCCTGCAATAGAAAGGCAGCCTGTCAGAAAGGCAGGGACCGTGGAAGCTGGTGGGGAGGGGAGGAACAGGAGCTGGGAGACCCTGTGCCTTTGCAGGAGAAACTGGAGAGCTGCAGGCTGAAAAATCAGTGGAGCTTTGGTGCCCAGGTAGATCCAAACGTATCTGACTCTACAGGAGAGAGGACTGGCCATAGGTGCTGACGGGGCTTGTGGGGCCTTGTCAACTATACCTGCACCAGAAGCCATAATCATACCTGGGCCTTAGAGAACTGTCTCTAGGATCTGGCCACTGTGGCCAGACTGGTGGGACGGCGCCACCTCCAGTCCCCTCCGGGACCTCTGAAGGCAACGCCCATACCGCTCTGAAACTGGAAGGCTGCTCCCAACGCGGGAAAGGCAGTGCTTCCAAGAGCACCAGGCTAGAGTCACAGCGGCCCCCTGTGGCTACTTGGGGAACTGCACTGTGCTGTGGTGAGGAACTCTCAGGCAAGGACGGGGCATAGCTCTCCCTCTTTCTAATCCTACTGCAGTGCAGTGCAGCGAGGGGCTTGGCCCCAACACAGAAGCTTCATTCGAAGACAAACCCACAGTGCTTAGTTTGCCAATTCCTTCTAATTCTTGCTTTTTGGTGACTTGTGGTCAGTCCCACAAAGTTTTTCAAGAAAGAGAGGCGATGGACTTCCCTGGTGGTCCAGTGGTTAAGACTCTGTGCTTTCACTGCCAAGAGCCTGAGTTCAATCCCTGGTCGGGGAACTAAGATGAGAGATTAAGGCTCATGGGAGCAGGAGAGGGGCTCTGAGACTCCTGCATCTTCCCATCAAAGAGGTGGCCAGTTTCCCCAGATGAAGCCCTGGGGTTGTGCACACAGCAGTGGCAGCTTGGGTACAGCCCTGGGGCCTCTCCTCCCGCCCAACTCACCAAATCTGTATCCGCACTTTGATGCCATCTACCTCTATGGTCTTCATCTTAAAGTCGACACCTGGGGAAAGGAAGCAAGCAAGGAAGTTAGCAAGGGTACCTGCTGAGACCTGAGGTGTGGCCCAGGGCACTCATACCTGGAGGTTCTCCTTTTGGTTTAATTTGGCAGAAAGATGCTAAGAGGGAAAGGCCTTTTTGAGCCAAAAACAGACCCTGGGGAGTGTCCAGGGCTTTGAATGGGGCTTCCCTTCCTACCTGAGCTTTGAGTTGCCAGGACTAAAGGGTCTGAGACTCACAGCAAGTTGGAATCCACTCCATCGCTATCTTACATCGCCCCAAAGCATGTCTAACTCTACTCCCATGAGAAGTCTTCCTGTCTATGCTTCTGCACAGAACCACCTGTATTCATCCCTCCTGGAACTCTGCTCCCTAGGAACAGTAGTCTACCTCATGCGCCTGGGTTGTTTCTCTCTCTGCCTTGTTAGCAACCAGGAGGGGTTACGGCGTCATCATGAATATAGAAAAGGCAGAGATTGTGGCAAAAGAGGACTTTCGCCCCATGGTGTGTATGAAGCCGCCGGCACCTAGCAAAGGCCCGCCAAGGAGATGGCCCAGGGCATGTGTTGTTGACTAGGCCTGGCCACCACAAGAGGCACTGTGGTTTACCAGAAGGAGCATGGGCTTGAATGTCAGGGCTGCACTTGAATCCTGACTCTGACCACATAATTCATAGCCAGGACCCTGGGCATCTTGCTTCTCTGAGCCTCCATTTCCTCGTCAGTAAAATGGGGACATTACCAGTCATTTCAGAGGGTCACTGAGAAGACCAAATGACGTCCTGTGCCTGGCACCTGGTGGCCATTCACTCGGTCACAGCTGTCACCGTGCCGAGTTCAGCCCTGGTGCACACAGGTGCTCCTGGGTGACCGCCAGTGACCGTGTGAAGAGGCAGTGGCACAGACAGACAGGGTTCTCATCTGCCCGGGGGCTTGAGCTAAGCTGCCGCGGGACACAGGAAACGTAAGGGCTCTAGCAAACCAGCCCAGGGAGGAAATATATCTGGGGATTTTTGCGACTGAAGTCAGCACCACCAGCAGCACGCGGGCGTCAGTCTGGTGACAGCAGAGATGGGGCGCCTCTGCCCAGCCCTGCTCGTGCCAGGTAAGGTGGCTAAGCTGCAGTCTTCGTGCACTCCCTGGAGACAAGTCGGGAAGGGGCACCACTAACTGGCGTTCAGGAGGGGAACAGGGTGAAGGCAGACTTCTGGACCACAGCCCCTGGAGTTTACAGCACAGCCCCCAAAGTGCTGAAATCCCCAGCGCCACTCCAGCTCGGTATGAATACTCCCCCGCTTATCCATCCTGCCCCCAGCTTTCTACAGACAGATTAAATTCAGCATCAATACCAAGCATCATTTAATTAAAGAGGAGGAAAAGACTCAGACTGGACAACCTGAACTAAATCAAGTTGTCAGACATGAATCATTTTTCACCTGCCCAAGCTGATTCATATCTTTTGAGCTGTACTTTTCTGAATGTGCAACATCCGGCAGCCATTCTTCGGAGGGTGCCCAGAAAGTAGAAAAGCAGAGGGAGAAGAAAGGAGAGGGGGGGCCCCTGGCCTTGGGGAGGGGGGTATGCAGAAGTGTGCTCACCCACTCCCTAAACAAACAGTTGTCAAGAATTTGCTTCTCCGCAATACCTGGCATGGAAAGGAATCAAGAAACCTTTGCTCTTTCCTGGTACAGTGCCATCTTCCTAGGAGAACAGGTGATGCTGTCTATTTTCTAAAAAACCTGGCTCATCCTCATACCAGCTTAGTCCAAGGACAATGCCTTTCGCAAGTGGTCACACAGGTGGGGCTGCTGAGAGAGAGGGGTCTATTTCCTTCATTTTACAAAGTTCCACAGGAACTTTATGCCCTGGGCAGTGCTAGGTGCATACAGAGTGGCCAAGAAGACAGATGGCCCCTGCCCGTACAGAGTTTATTGGAAAGGAAACAAAGGCCCCGGGAGGTGAGATAAGGAGTCCAAGGTCAGCCCAGCAAGTAGCTGAGGCCTGTTTGAGGGCAGGGCCCTTGCACTGTCTCTCGGGGAAACGAGAGGAGAGCTGTGTGTTACCCAGGCGGAGGGGTCTTACCTACGCTTTTCTGTTTCTCTCTGGAAAAACAGAAAAGCACTCAGCCAGGGGAGGTGCCCCCAGAGCCGGGGAGCTTCCCCCTGAGACTGAAGGCAGGTCTGAGGAGAAGCAGGGCTGACAAGACAGGGAGCCACTCTGGGAGTGAGCACTGGGCTTGGCCTCCTTCTCCCCTCTTCCCTTGCTTCTCAGCCGTGTGGCCAGGGAGCAAGTCTGCGGAATTCTGGGGGCTCACAGCACCCCCCACATCCCACCATTTTGCAACCAAGGCCCTCCTGATCAGCCATCAAACCTGTAACACCTCTGAGAAGTTAAAAAAAACAAAAAAAATCAGCTCTTCCCCTGCACGAGGGATGAAACAGTCTAAGCCTTCTGAGGGGTTTCCTCTCCCACCCACTCACCTCCTTAAATGGAAAAAGGAACAGCCCAGAGATCCTCCAGTGGGACCTGCTCCTCTATGCTGTTCCCCCACCGCCTGTACCTTCCACCACGTCCACCTCCGGTCAGCCCTGGTCCCCTGTGCCCGTCCGCGGCCCCCTCCTTGTCCCCGTGTGGCTGCTGGCTTTTTCCACTGCTGAGCACTGCTGGGCAGAGTCAAAATGCGGGCCTTGTTCAGTCACCCAGGAAACCGTGCCTTCCCACCTCAGCCAGCCCTCGCTGCTGCTCAGAAGCTGTTTATTCGAGGTGGTTCACCCACCACATTCCCCACAGCCACCGTCCTTCATGTTGAAGGGCTCAGCCCTGGTCCACCCCTTCTCCCTTCCCTATCGCTGAAAGCGTCCAAGAGAACACCTTGTCCACTGTCTTACGGGCAAAGTGACCGCTGCCTGATGAAGCTTTCCTCTGAGGCCCACATCATCTCCTCAGGCCATCCTGCCGTCTCCACCTTCCCCGGGTTGGGGGCACCCTCTATCCTCTGAGTCTCACCTCTCAGCTGTCCTCAGCCCCTCTGGGTGTACACCCCAACAGTTTCACCTGTGTCGCATCTTCAGCGACACAGAAGAATCTGAAGACAGATTCTTCATCTGCCTCCACCCCCAGAGTGTTCTCACTCTGGCTCCTCTAAGGCAGCACTTCTCAAGCTTTAAAGTTTATGCAAATCACGTGGGGACCATGTTGAAATGCAGATTCTGATTCAGTCGGTGTGAGGTGTGACTGAAATGCTGCACAAGCCTCAGGGTGAGTAAGAAAGATATTACTGGCCCACGGATCACACTTTTGACAGCAGGCTTCTAAGGATGGTGGTTCTCAAAGTGTGGTCCCCGGATATGCAGCATCAGAACCAGCATCAGCCAGGGCTTGTTAGAGATGCCAGTTCCTCAGATCTCCAGCATCCAAAACTCTGGGCAAGGGTGGATAGGAATCTGTGGTTTAACAAGCTCTCCAGGTGATTCTAGTACATGCTGAGTGAAGACTGAGGATTCCATCTGAAGTAAGCTTTGCACGTGAAGCATTTCCTTTGCCGCAAGGGAGGCAGCATAGGAATTCTCTGATTCTCAAGATCTACTCTACAGATACTCAGCTTTAGAATCATCTGAAATGATTTTTTTTTTTTTTTTAAACAAAATGACACTAGTGGGTAGCATAAGATGTTACGGAAAAATCTGAGTGAACTTTGTGGCCAATGCAATACTTTGACTTTCCTAGACCTAATGAATCAGAATTTGAGAGCAAGGGCCTGAAACTTGTATTTTTAACAGGACTATGAGTGATTTTATTTTTTAAATTATTTATTTAGTGGCCGTGTCGGGTCTTAGTTATAGCATGTGGGATCTTTCATTGTGGCATGCAGGCTTCTCTCTAGTTGAGGCACACCAACTTAGTTGTTCTGTGGCATGTGGGATCTTGTTTCCCTGACCAAGGATCAAACCCATGTCCCCTGCATTGGAAGGCAGATTCTTAAACATGGGCCACCAGGGAAGTCCCTGGGTGATTTTTAGATAGAAGAAAGTCTGAGGGTTCTAATTTAGTGGAAAAGCTATCCTCAGCACTAGAGTCAGAAAGACCTGGGTCTGAATACTGTTTCTGGCACTTGCTGTGTAGCTTTGAGGAACTTTCAACTTCTCTGAGCCTCAGTTTGTTTGTCTGCAGAAAGCAGAGACATCACTTTACCAACAAAGGTCCATCTAGTCAAAGCTATGGTTTTTCCAGTAGTCATGTATGGATGTGAGAGTTGGACCATAAAGTGAGAGACAGCACAGTCCAGTCTCTTGCTACGCCTCTACCTTTGCTTGTCTGGCAGCACCAGTATCACTGGGGAGCCTGTTAGAAGCCTGGCCAGTCTTCTGGGCCCCCCAGAACCTACTACACTTAAGGCACACTAATGCTTGAGAACCACTCTCTAGCCCATCTCCAGGCAGAACCACACGCACGGCTCACGATACTGCTAAGCATTACAGCACAGCCCCTGGCTGGAGGGCCCAGAGCCCTTGCTTCTCATGCCAGCCCTACAGAGGAAGCAGAGTGGGGATTGTCACCACGGGGTGCAGAGAAGCCAAGTAACTTGCTCCCGTTCCCACATCCTGTGGCCAAGCCAGAGCTGCAAACCAGCCCCTTAAGACCTGCCCAGGCCACGTGCCTTGACCAGCGGCTTCCCAACCCCCCGAGGCTGTGGAATCTCACTGCCTTTCTGTCTCAGCCCTGCCTTCCCCACACCTGTTCTGTATTACGAGGCATCTAGCAGTGAGGCAGTGGGCACACGTGGAGCAAGCCCACCGTAACCTATTTTCAAGGAACCCCTTGCTCCTCGAGAGTTCATGATTCCATTAAGCCCAGAGGCACCGCCCTGGACAGGGCCACCTCAGAGTTTCCTCAAGCGGGCCGACACTCCTTCCCGGGCACAGGGGACACTCGGGAGTGAAGGAACCAGCAGCACCCTCCACACAGAGCGGGCAGGGGTTCTTGGAGACTGTGGGGTCTGGGGAGAAGAAAGTCAAGAAGATGAGGTTGTCTCCCACCCAAGGGTCCAAAGCATGACAAGCAGCTGACTGTCTCCTCCCGGGACCTCAGATCCATCAGTCGTGGTGTCTGCCACACCCAGTATCCCGTTCTGGGTGGAACTGCACAGCCTGAAGTCTCCACTCGGGGAAGCAGGGCTGGCTGCAGCATGTTCTTTGTGGAGAAGCAGCTCCTGCCTGGACCAGTGTGAACGTCTGACCCCAAAGAGGGCCATCAACGGGCTTGCCAGTGACCCACAGCATGACCTGGCCGACAGGGGCAGGGGAGCTAGCTTAGCCAACCAGCGCAGCGCCTTCCGGGTGGTGCAGAGGGGACCGGCCAGCTGGCACCGAGAGGAGCAGGAGGCAGGCAGATATGCGGCGTGGGTCCCAGCATGGCCACCCGTCTATGCCGGGCTCCGGGTCTCAGCCGGTGGGTGTGCTCATAGCACAGGCCCCTCTCCTTAGAGCACATCTCAGGATGTCAGAAGAGCCTCAGCCTGTGCTTGCCCACGGCTCCTCTAGGCTGGCGGTCTTCTCAGCTGCAGCCGCGGGAACGGACGATGTACCCCACTCCTCACCATCTCCCCCTTCTGGTCTTCCAGCCCCGACTAGATGCACAGTACCTATGAGGCAGGGGAGAAATTTTGTATTTGACAAAATTCTGTGTCTGTTTTCGAAATCTCCACCTCCACCCCAGCTCGGTGCCAGGCAGAGAGTAGCAATTCCATTGGCAGCATCCCCCTGCCTCGGAGAGTAGAAGGAGGGATGGGTGCCCGTGGCTCAAGAGCAGGGGCATATGTCCTGTTGTCTGAACACCTCGCAGTCAGCGAAGGAGAACGCCTCAGTGAAGCGACAGTGCCAGGTCCTGGTGCACCTGTGATGTGCCCTCACCACCCTGGTGGCCTCTGGCCCCTCTCGGGTCCCTGGGTGCAGGCTCACTCCTTCAGCAGCAGCTGCAGAGCCTGCCAAGCCCCACCTGAGCCCGGGAGCACAGCCGCAGCGCTGCCGTCAGAGGACTGAGGGCCCCGCTCTGCATACTGGGGCTCGGACCAGGGGGGCCAGGCGGGGGCATGGCGCTGGCACTGCCCCTGCTCTTAAGACAAGCGTAGGAGCTGACTGCCAGCCCAGTCCAGCAGCAGAGGGCCTGTGAAGACCAGGCAAAGGAGGGGACAGGGTACATCCCAGGGACCGGCACTCCTCGTCCCTGTCTGGCTGCAGAGAAAGCCCTGGAAAGCACAGAAGGAGTGTGCAGCTCAAGAAACAGACTGGCGAGGCCATTAAGAACACAACTGTGGGGCCAGAGTTTGGTTCCAATCCTGCCGTTACCACTAATTACCTCTGTGGTCTTGGGAAAGCAACTCAACTTCTCTCTGCCTCAGTTTCCCCACCTGTAAAATGGGGATGACATTCCCTATTGTCAGAGGATTTCTGTGAGGATTACGAGATAAGCTATAAAACCCACAACAGAGCCTGGCACATCGAGTTTTATTAAATGTTAATTGAAAAAGCTATCAGTGTCCTATGCAGGGGATGAGATTAGGGTCCCAACTTGGGGAATAGAAAGAGCCCTAGAAAGTTGGAAGGGGCTCATGTTGGGACAAGGAAGGAGAGAGGTGCAAAAAGAGGAGTCAGTCACACTAAGCCACAGCGTTTCAACAAAAACTGAAAATGCTGCCCACCGTGGGAGCCAGATGGGCCCCAGAGTCTGGCTACAACCTGAAGTCCGGCAAAGTTAGCTGTGCCTGTCGGCAGGCCAGCACCTCATGGGTTAATGTCAAGTGCCAGCTTGCCTGCCCGCCCGGTGCCACGGGCGTCAGGTGGAAACAGGGTTTTTCTGTGCCAAATGCTATCATCGTGATCAACCGCAGCCCAGAGGCCCAGCAGCCTGGGGACCTGAGCCTTCTCAGCAATGCGACGCCACTACAGGAATCACTTAATATACCTGAAACCCAAGGCAGACACCCAATCCCTGGAGCCGTGGTAGCTCCAGTTACAAAGCTCAAGTCCCAGGAAGGCCCCCAGCCTCGACCCCTGCAGGAAACCAGCATGTGCTGGGCGCATGGTGCTCCTGGGGGATGGGGCAGGAGGTCACCCTGAGAAACCCCAACACCGTCTGGAGGGAAGGGCAGACCCTGCGGGGCTGTGGGTTTCTGACGTTGCCACCCAAACAAGGCACCAGAGTGATGCCCTTCCCTCAGCAAGAGAGCAAAGTGTAACACCATGTCCCCACCAGCTGAGGGACAAATGAGGGGAAGAACAGGAAAGACAGAAGATGAGCGACAGCTGAGACAAAGCTTGAGAGAAGGTTCCAGACAGAGGCTCAGGCCACACAACGGGCCTCACACCAGTTGGGTTCAGGGCAGGGGAGAGCGTTCTCTGCCCCAGACCCGCCAACTCGCTGCATCCCCCTTCCTCTCTCCCTTCTGTCTGGGGACTTCCAGCCTCCCTGTCTGTGGGGCTGCACACCACTGACTTCCCCTTATCCAGATCTGGAATGACTGTCCCTCATGCTGGGGAAAAGGTGTCCCCAGGCTCTCTGAGAAAGGGCATCAGGCAGCATTTGAACCATCGCACTCCGGGAGGGATGGGAAGCAGGGCCTCAGGCAGAGTCCTGATCCTCTAACTCCCAAGGCGGTGATTCAACCTGAGATCAAAGGCCCTAGTTTACCCGTCCACCCACAAGACAGACTGGTGATGTCAGAACAACATTCTCTCTCTCTTTTCTAAGACACAATCAGATGCAGTGCACGTGATGATACGGGCAACAACTCTGGAGGCTACTATTTTCACATCAGATCTTGAGATTCTCTGGAGACGCAAGAACCCAAGGGCTGTTACCACACAGAAGGGTTTCCCAGTCAGACATGAACTGCCGTGATGCTGGGAGGAATGTGTGCCCCAGCGCCTGAGCCCTGGGAGCTCCTACTCCAGAATCCCGGAGGGCCACTTCAGCAGCCTGG